GGGGGGGGGGGGGGCAGGCCCGGGGCCGGGGCCGGGCCAGGGAGGAGGGGGCCCCGCACGCGGTGGGACCGGCCACAGCAGGTGGCGCGACCCGGCCCATCGCCCATCACAGCCGACGGAGCTGTCACAATTGCGGGCAGACTTGCCCCGGGCGCGGCCGGCTAGTGCCCGGCCCCGGCGGCTGCAGCATGCCGCCGGCCCTGGTCGGCGATGCCGGGCGCCCCGATAAGGACCAGGCCCTGCTCGAGGCCGCTGCAACTGTCGGAGCGCCGAGACACCGAGGCAGGGCAGGGTGGCCTGAGCCCGGTGCCGGGAGGACAATTAAATTTCGCGCTAAGCGGGCGTCCGGAAAGGAAGAAAGGCCCTCGGTCTCCGCCTCGCGTGGACCCTCGCGCTCGGGGGTCCTCGCGCCGTCGGCGCCCCCCGCCGCCCCCGCCGCCCCTCGAACGGCTCCTGCCTGCCGGGAAGTCGCCCGGTCCGGACAGCGCTTGGACATACCCGCCAGACGCCCGGCGGACAGCCGCCACACATGGCCTGACATGCGGCGGTGGCAGAAATCATGTCGCTCAAGGGGCCGCCGGCAGGCTTGGGCCTTGCAGACCAGTCGCCCGCCCGCCCTGCCCGCCCGTCCGCCCCTCTAGCATGTCCCACTCGGCCGGCTTTTTTTTTGCACCGGCTCCCCTCGGTGCCGCCGAGAATAATGGAGCCCGCCGGAGGTATCCATTTGCTGGTGCGCCCGCCCGGCCGGCTCGGCCGATGCGCCAGCCTCGACCCCCGGCAACGAGGGGGCAATATTCCCCTGGCGCCGAGTCGGGCGCCATTTTGCCGCGCGCGCCATCGCACGCGCCCATCCGGCACGACAATGCACCGCGCCCCGGTTCCACACACACACTGGATACGCGGATACTCGCATGTAGCCCAGGCAGGCATGGAGGCCCACGTCCGTGTGCCCGGGGCTGCCGCCACCAAGTTAATAGCCAGCGGACGCCGGACCTGACTGCGAGTCGGAGACACAGGCAGAGAGGCAGAGAGGCAGAGAGAGAGATACAGAGAGAGAGAGAGAGAGAGCTGCACTGCGTGTGGCACGCGCCCCCATGCTCCAGACCCCACCCCGGCGCCGGTTGGCAGTCCACGCACGGCGACCCACAGCCAGTGCGAAACCCGCCCCCAGGCGGTTGCCCCAACTGGCGCGAGCGGGCGCTCGCCAGGCCGTGCAGCGCAAGACCAGCCCATGCACCCCCGGCGGCGATGGGCCCCCAGCCACCCGGCCCAGGTGGCTAGCCACCTGGGCCGTGCCTGCCTGCCGGTGGTTGTACAGCGACGCCTTCTCCGCCCACTGGCCCGCTGATGAGCGGTGAACACCGAGGGCAGGCACTCGCCCCTGGTCCGCCAAGAACAAGCGGCGCCGCCTTCCCCTCGGCGGGGCCATCATCAAACCATGGCCCATGGGCTCCGCCCCAGGTCCTCAGACACACACACACACACACACACACACACACACACACACACACACACACACACAATATCCATGCATGCATGCACGAAGGCTCTCCCAGGCCCGTGAGAGATGCCGCCAGCCACGGGGAAACCAGAGAGGCCATCCAGTTTCTCCTGCCGTGTAACACCACCGGCCACCATCACCACCACCACCACCGGCCACCACCACCGGCCACCTCCGTATTTGGGCCCCGCTCTTCGCGCCCCCCACCCCGCCTGTCAGGGAACTCCGCCGGACGGACGTATTTCCCTCGCCCGAGGGCGCGGGGGCCGACGAGGGCGGAGCCCACAATTGACCCGGCGCGTAAGGGCTCGTGATATATTGCTGTATGCACGTGACATGCTCGGTTAAGACTGCCGCCCTTCCCTACTGCGCCAGCATGTGGACCGCCATGCGCCGGAAGAGCCCCACCGCGTCGACAAGCTCTCGCTTGGAAATCTGCTCATCATCCGTGTGAGCCACGGTGATGCTGCCCGGGCCCAGGAGGTAGGACTTATGGTCGCCCTCGAAGAAAGGAAGGTCTTGTGGGAGGGAGGGAGGGGAGGAAAGGCAGGGCCGACGATGAAGGGGCGCAAAGAAGACGGCCATCATACTTGCGGGGTCAGTGGCAGGCCCCACACACACACGCGCGCGCGCGCGCGCGCGCACGCACACATTGCAAGGAGGATATAGGCGAGATGGAGGATCTTCCGGGCAGACAGGGGGGCAAAAGGGTAGCACACGCACCGGTGTTGTAGGCGACAATGGTGGTGTTGAAGCCGGGGATGGTGTCACAGATGAAAGGCTCGTTCTCCGACAGGTCAGTGATGGTGGCCCGGTCCCGGACCACGCGCTCGATGAGGGTCTTCACCTCGGCCAGGTTGGTCGACACGCGGACCATGATCTCGGCCGAGGCGTAATCCGGCACGACATTGGCCGCCACGCCGCCGCCCAAGATCCCGATGTTCAGAGTGGTCGGGCCGAGCAAGTCGCTCACGGGAAGGGCCTTGTGTGTGTGTGCGTGCGTGCGTGTGCATGTGCGTGCGTGTGCGTGTGCGTGCGTGCGTGTGCGTGCGTGCGTGCGTGCGCGTGTGCGTGCGTGCGTGCGTGCGTGTGCGTGCGTGCGTGCGCGTGTGCGTGCGTGCGTGCGTGCGTGCGTGCGTGCGTGCGTGCGTGCGTGCGTGCGTGCGTGCGTGCGTGCGTGCGTTAGAAAGGGACAAGGAGGACCCACGAGAAGAGGAGCGCGGCGCCAGCCCGGCACAGTACCATGGTGTTCAACTCGCGCAGGAGGTCCAGCATCGGGGAGATGGCCGACTCGCCAAGATGCGGGTAGCCCGAGTGCGCCGCACGACCAAAGATTTCCAGACGGAACTTCCACATGCCCTTGTGACCCACGGCCAGCAGGGACTCGGTGGGCTCGCCGGACACGAAGTGCTCAACCGAGTGGAGATTGAGCTGGAAGGGGGAGCAGGGCACAGCGGCGGGAGCAGGCGAAAGGGGGGCGGGCGGGGGAGTGAGTAGGCCATGGAGGGGATATGGTGGCGAGAAGCCACGAGCGAAGGGGAAGTGTGAGACATGCGCGCGCACCTCATTCGCATGGCGCATGCCGATGTGGTTGACCTCCTCGCCCACCACGAAGAGCAGGCTAGCGCGGCCGCGGAAAGGGGGGGGGAGAGAGAGAGACAACGAGAGACAACGAGAGACAACGAGAGACAACGAGAGACAAGGAGAGACAAGGAGAAAGCGAAAGCAAAGGACGCGGGTCAGTAGCAAGTTGACCGACCAGGCGGAGCTGGCACCAAAAGGAAACGCACCCCAGCTGCGTCGGGTCGATGACACCCTCGACCGCGGCGATCGTGGAGTTCAGCGACTCGGCCGCATGAATCATGGCCGACACACTGCCCTTGGCATCGGCCGTGCCGCGGCCGAACATGGTCTCGGCATTCTCGCTGAATGGCAGGAAGGGCGGCACCGTGTCGATGTGGCTGCTGAAGAGGGCCTTCAGCCGGTGGCGGTTGGCCGGGTGGTAGGCCAGCACATTGTACCGGCTGGGCTCCACCTGCTGCTGCTCGACATCCCAGCCGGCACCCATCAGCCGGTCGGCCAACCACTGGCTCATGCGGAGCTCATTGCCGGAGATGCTCTCAATGCGGACCATCTCCCGGAGGGTGTCCACGGTGTCGGCATCATTGAAGGCCTGGCCGGCAACCGGCTGGCTGAGCCGGTGCAGGTCCAGCCCGGACGCCGCTGCGAGCAGGGCCGCCAGAAGGGCGAGGAGAAGGAGGAACGGGGCGCGCATATGGGCAGACAGAGGGAGGGGGGAAGGAAGGGGCGAGAGAGGGAACTGTGTGACCCCCGGGCGGCGCACCGCACCGCGGCACCGGACAACGCCGGCCCAACTACCAGCCGTGCGTCCTGCCCCCCCGCCGCCCCGGGGCAGAGCCCAGACCGGGCGGGGAAGAAGTAAACAGATCAGCATCGATCGACCCCCCCCTCCGCCGGGGCCCCAGACGGGGGTACCCGCGCGAACGCATCTTTCCCCCGCCCCCTGCCGCCGGTCCGTCCGACCTGCCCGAGAGACACTTTTAAACCCGAGGGAAAAAACAAACACCCCAAGAAGTGCATTCCCCTGCCGCGGCCGCTCCCGCGCCCCACCTCCCTTCCCGGCGACGCCCTCGTTCGTCGGATCCCCCGCGGGGGTCGGCCCCGCGAAAGGTAGCCACGGCCCGCGGCCGATCGGTGCGGTCACGTGCTTTTATTTGGCGCCGGCCCGGCCCGAGATGCCCTCGTTCCAGCTGGCCGCCACCAAACGCGCGTGCGTGCGTGCGTGCGTGTGCACATGAATGCGAAAACAAGTAAGGGGAGGGGGAGGAGTGCGCGTGTGGACGCGCGTGTGGACATTCACCCGCCGAGTCAAGGCCGGACGGGGTTGCTGTCGAGGCCTGCCGTGTTTGTGGGCCAGATGTGGCGGAAACACCGGCCCCCGAAGAGGGTCGCACGCCGGGGGGGGGGGGGAAGGGAGAGGAAGATCGCGCGAGGGACCGGCGGGGGAGGAGGAGGAGGAAAGGGGGGTGGCAGCATGGTCAGATCGGGCCAGCGTGGTGCACGCAATCGCGAGGGGAGAGAGAGAGAGAGGGGGGGGAAAGGCGGGAGGAAAGGGGCAGCCACGCACGGAGAACCGCCACAGAGGCGCCCACAAAGGGGACGCTGGTGAAGCGGTTATCCGCCAGGGAGAGCACGCGCAAGCTCGGATACAGGCGGAAGACCTCCTTGGGCAGGGTGCTCAGGCCATTGTCATTGAGGCTGAGGACCTTCAGTCCGTCCAGGGCCTGGCCCAGGGGCGCCGGGGTGTCCACGAAGTAGGCGCGGATCGCCGCGTCATTGAGGCTGCACGAGTCCAGGTACAGCCGGGCCAACTGGGCCAGCTTGCCCAGGCACACGGGGATCGACTCCAGCGGATTGCGCGCCAGATCCAGGGTCTTCAGGGGGAGCGAGGGCCGGAGGGCCCAGCTGCTGACGGCGTCGGCGGTCAGGCGGTTGCCGCTCAGCCGCAGGGTCTCCAGCCGGTCGAGGCCGGTCAGCCAGGAGGCATCCTCGGCGCCGGCGATGGCGTTGCCACTGGGGGGGGGGGGGGGCGGGGTCAGAGATGCTTGTCGGAAGGCCGCAAAAGGGAGGGCGAGGGCAAGAAGACGCACTGGAGGAAAAGGTGGCGCAGATTGACCAGGTTGGAGATGGCCCCGGAGATGGTGGTCAGCTTGTTGTTGCTGCGGTGGTGGGCGCGACACGAGGGAACGGCGGTTAGCTGTGGCCGATTGTGTCGCCCCCCGGCCTGGGGGGGGGAGGGGGGGGGGAGGCTGTGTCGCGGGTCATGGAAGAGGCAGGGACGAGCGTGTAGCAGCCCCGGAGCCAGGAGCATACCTCACGTCCAGGATCTCAAGGAAGGAGAGGGAGAAAAAGAGCTGCTCCGGCAGGGTGTCCAGCTGGTTGGAGGACAGGTCGAGCGACTGGGCAGGAGCCAGGGGGCAGGGAGGTGACATCCAGGGGGCAGGGAGGTGACATCCAGGGGGCCGGGCGGCAAGTGAGTGAAGGGTGAGCAGCCATCTGCTGACATGTATGTGGATGTGGGCGGGTGGAGATGGAGCAGGCTGGTGGATCCACGGGAAGAAGCAAGAGCCGGAGGAGGAGGGAAGAGCTGGGATGGGCCGACGCACGACGATGGAGGAGAAGGAGAAAAGGGATTCCGGCAGCGCGGTCAGCCCGTGGCCGGAGAGCACCATTGACCGCTGGGACTGGAAGGTCTCTGTGCCGAGGTACCCGGGATGAGGGCCGCGGTCCGAAAGACGGGGGAGGTGGGGACCACAAAAGGGGTGAGGGAAGTGTCAGAGGCGTTGCGGCAGCCCCGACTCCGGATGGCAGGCGGACACCACGCACCGATGGCCTCATTTTGCGACACGGGGGTGTGGGAGAGAGAAAAGCTGAAAGACTGATTGGACTCTGTGCATGTGCGGACAGCAGGCCCATCAGGGACGGAGGGGGGGAGGGGGGGGGGAACAGACTGTCAGCGCTCGACGACAAGCGACTGTGGAGGGCGGCCAAGCGACTGTGGAGGGCGGCCAAGTGACTGTGGAGGGCGAGCAGAGGGCGCCCTCGCGCGCAAAAAAAAAAAAAAAAAAAAAAAGCAAACGGACCGTGCGCCTGGACGTGTGACGAGAGGAGGCGCGCCTGGAACCGGAGCGTCTGCTCCTCGGCCCAGAGCTGTGCCAGGCGCGATTCCAGTTCGAGAATCTTTTTGTTGGGGCCGGCGTCGGTGCCACCCGGGGTGGCGATCTCCTGCGAGGATTTCAACGCATCGATCGCACGGACGGTCCGCTCGCGGAGGCCGGTGATGCGCTTGAGGGCCAGCAGCAGCGAGTCGAGCTTGGCCTCGACGGGCGGCTGGTTGGAAGCGGTGGTCGCAAGAGGCGAGGCCATAGCTGCTCTCAGGGGGGAGGGGGAGGGGGAGGG